TCCACTCACACTAATGTCATTCAATCTAGCAGTTTGAGTATTGGGTCAGGATCTCTATTCTATATTCGGAAAAACAAAAGGCTCTTATTAGTATTTCCATGAGCATCATATACAGCACTCAATATTTTAATTTGTTCCCCTACTTATTTTTAAGTTGCACATATTATTAACATTCTGAAAGTTATTCAAATTTTAACATTCATACCAAGATACTCCCAGCTGAATCTAACATATTATTTGCTCTGCATTTAATATTCATTTTATTTTTATTCCCCACCTTTGGCATTTTTCTTAATTTTTACTGTAGTTAATATTTTGTGACTGTCTAAGCAGAAAGCAACTTTATTCATTTGTTAACTCACATTATGGGATATCCACTCATGATACTAGTTTGTTAGTAACTCAAGGAAAATGAATAGTAGCTTTTTCAAAATTAAAAAAAGTTACATCCAATTAAAATTAAAAAGATGTCAGATCATAGCTATGGGCTACTCATAAGGTGGTGGGGCTGGTTGTTCAGGGGCACCAGGTCAGATTCAATGGGTAGGGATGTCAGGTCCGTGTGTCTGGGGGCATTGGGTCACAGTGGCCCTATATTAAGACGGTGAGGCCAGTCTTCCTGGGGTTCCGGTTGTGTGTGCCTAGACGGGGAAGTAGGTGTGTGCATCTGGCAGGCCAGGCACACCACCCCTCAGGGGGGCAGGGTGGGTTGGGCATACCGCTTGTGAAGGAGGGAAGAGGGCTGAGTGTTCATTGTTGAAGGGGTGGAGGTGGGGCATAGACACTGTTCACCCACGTGGCTGGGCAGGACCTGCCCACCACCGGTTAAGACAGTGGGTCTGATTGCCATTGACTTTTTGAAAAATCTTTATTGTTGAAAGCATTATATAGGTCCTCCTCTTCCCCCCTGTTTATTTATTAATGACTAGTATCCCTGTGCACAAATTGGTGAGTGAGTAGCTCGCTGCAGCTTGTCTCAGCTGGCCACCTGCCCACCGTTGCTGGGAGCTCTCTGCTGCTCATAGCTCACTGCCGTGCTCTTCTGCAGCTCTCCACCACTTTTAGATTGGTTGTGAAGTTACAGCGTAACGGGTACTTAGCATATTCCTCTCTTATTATATAGGATAGTTTTTCTAAAAGGTATAAGGTGATATCTCACTGTTGTTTTAATTTGCACTTCTCTGATGACTAGTGATGTTGAGAATCTTTTCATATGTCTATTGACCATTTGTATGTCCTCTTTGGAAAAAATGTCTATTCAGGTTCTTGGTCCATTGTTTGTTTTTTGGTGTTGAATTTTATAATTCTTTATAGGTTTTGGATATTAACCCCTTTTCAGTTGTATCATTGACAAATATATTCTCTTTCCTTAAGCATATTAAACATTGTAATTTCACTGTGAGACAAAGGCTTCATTGCTGGGTAATTGTCATAGAGAAGTTTGAGAAATCCAGAGCGCATAGACTGCCCAGTGCCTAAAAGAGAAGAGGGAAGTGGTTCAGATGGTGTCTTTATGCCCTTTCTGCCTCAGTCGGTGTCTTCTACACTAGATCCTAAAACTGTGCCTCTTATATTGAGAACCTGGAAAGCAGTTAATATAGTAAAGAAATGGTAACTGAGGCCCTGCTGGTTGGCAACTCATATATTCACCCTTATTTTTTGAATGCCTGGTGTTTACAGGTTTCACTTTGTGTTGGGGACCAAATATATGATGATAAACATCAAGTAGATGATATCATGAGGCAGTAAAGGAAAGAGCTGTAAATGGGTCATTTCAATTTTACAATTATATAAAAGTGCTATGGTAGAAGGGACACCACAGCACAATGTTAGCCCAAGGAAGATACCTTATCCATTCTCAGAAAGTCAGGAAATAAGAAATGGTAAGAGGAAAAGAGGCTTGTAAATAAAGGGTATGGGATAAGGAAGCCTGGGTGTTTAAGGAAGATTGTGTCTTGTATTCAAATGCCCAGTGTTAAAGAATACATACAGCGTGTGAAATTACAGTTTGTTCATTCCAAGCACAATAGTCTTAAGCCCTACACAGCTTAAAGAATTCCTGAAAGTCTGCATTGATCTTAAAAATTTATTTTCTTCTAATTGCCCATCTTTGTAAATTCGGAGTAGGCATTTGGAGACCATTCCAGTGGACATCCCAGTAGACTTTATATCTGAAAATAAATTAGTGACTAGAATTTCAAGGCCTTATTGAGAGACCAAAAGAACAAGATTAAGCTGAACATCTTGTAACTTTTGTTTCCTGTTGTAATAAATAGAGTTTTCCTGTTGAGCTGACATGGTATTTCAATAAATACTTTGATCATGTCATGGGAATATTGTCATCCCAGGTATTTTTATTTCATTTTTCATCTAATAATTGCATCTATTTATGTTTGAATAAGTAATAATTTATACAAGATGCAACAAACACAAAATATACAGTGTAAGGTTCATTATCTTCTTGCGTTTTACCTCAACTCTGAAGATCCATTCCTGTTGTGTCCAATATACAAGTTTACTTTATATTTTTCCAAAGAGAGATGATAATATATTCACATATTCATTATGTTCTAAACTTAGTCATAGCAACTATACACACCTTTTGCAAATTTATTTTCACTTATGATAAATCTTGTAGATTTCTAATAATAGGACAAAGAGACCATCCTTTCTGATTTTATTGACTGTAGATTATTCCTCTGTGAGTACATCTCAAAATTTACGTGACCAATATCTCACAGAGGAAATTTAAAGTTTTTTCCAGACTTTTTGAATTATGATAGTTCTGCAACAATTATACTACTACATATGATATTTTCAAGTTGGGTAAAAACATCTAAGACAAATACTTAAATGTAAACTTGCTTGATCAACAGTATTTGCATTTAACATTTTGATATATATTTGCACCAATTTGCCCTCTCACTGGAAAATGTGAGGAATTTCCAGTTTCCTAAAATCCTCGACAACCTTTTGTCCTATCAAAACACACCTTTCTGGATCATCTAAAAGGTGACATAGTTACCTCCTACTTTTACTTTGCCTATCTTTTAATCTAAAGATATATATGTTTATACTTTTCTTATATTTTTTTCTATTCAGGAATGTGGTTGTTGCTCTTTTCTTGCCAGATTCATAAGAGCTCTTTATAGCTTAAGAAAGGATCTCCATTACTAATACAGATTGCCGATGTCTTCTTCATCTAACCATTTGTTCTTTTGATTTACTGAAAGCTTTTCTATGAATAAAACATTATCTTCTAACTTGTTTCCCATTCCTTAAATGATTTAATCCAATCAAAATAAAGCTGGTGTTTTGAATATCAGACCCTGTTATTCTTTTGAATCAGTATTATTAAATTTTTCTTAAATGAAACTATAATTTTACACATGTTTTCAAAATACTCTACAGTCTTATGGTATAAAACATAAGAAAACTTTTATAAGATACTTACGAAAAATTCTCACCAGATTTCATAAAGGAGCTTAAGCCTTTTTGAAGTGTGCAAATAGTTCTGTAATTATTGCAGGGCTTGCCGTGATTAAGCAATCTAATATCCTTGAAGTGAAGTTTCCATGTTTTTCAATATCTTTTCTTAGTTTATTTACCTTTTTGTTGATTTTTTCTAACATGTTTATATTTTGTTTATTTAAGATAGAGGGAGAAGAGAGAGAGAAAGAGAAACATCATTTTTTGTTCTACTTATTTATGCATGCATTGGTTGATTCTTGCATGTGCCCTCACTGGGGATCAAACCTGAAACTTTGGCCTTTTAAGATGGCACTCTAATCACTGAGTACCACAACCAAAACCTCAAATATCTCTTTAAATTCTTTAGTGGGTAGTTCTTCTTGGGTCTGTAAAAAGAGCATTCCCTTTGGAAAATCCTCAATTATCAGCACTTTGTATTTAACAACGGCAGCAACTAAGCACATGTTTTATTTCTCTACTAACTTACATGCTCTTTGATGAGTTTGTCAGTATTTACAAATGTTTGGACAAATGAAATGAGAATATTTATGATTTACACCTTCTTACCATCTGACTGGGGTGGGGATGGATTGGGGATAAGTTAGGTCTGGCAACTGTCCTAGGAATTTGCTCTAGCCCTAAGGATGCTCTTTGGGAAGGATGGGGTTTATTTCTAATTATTTCTTAGTTCCACTGAAGTAGGATGAGAACACATGTAACAACTAATGGGAACTGCTGATTCTAGAGAACACTGGTTATCAAACTCCAGGTTGGGACAAAGAATGCATTGTACTCTAGTTTTACAGAATGAAGCAGGCTGATCTGGAAACTAATGAAGCAAATTTTAGAGCTTTCATTATTCCATATTTCGTATCATGTACAATCTGATACTTTCAGGACAAATGGATATATATCAGGTCTTTTTGGTGGGTGCATCGAACATACTATAAACTAAAGTTCCATTCACTTGAGGGCATAGTGAGGCCCTATAATCACTACAAACCCAGTCCAGTAGCCTAGGGCATGTCAATTGTACCCTCCAAGTTCTAATACCAAACAAGGTGCCCAATCTCAAAGACATAGGGCTTTAGAATGATCCCATTAACTGGACATTTCTTTGAATCATAGGCCTTTGCATTTCCTTGAGTGTTTATGCCTTTAGTTAAATTTTTGTCCTTCCCTTCATGAGGAGCCAGGTTGGTGTCCTTTAGGTTTTGCCCACACCCCACCCAGACTTACCTCCATATTTTGCTTTAGCATTCTTTCCTGATTTCTCCATTGGCTTTCTATTTCTGTCTTTATCTTCTTCATCTGGACTAAGTTTTCCCTGAAAGATTTTCTCTTGAGCCTTCATTTTTTGCTGGAGTTCATTCAATGTCTGTCTCACTAGCTGCATTTCCTTTTCCCACTGCCTGCTTCTTGGCATGCCCAGCTATTTCACAATGTTCTGCAAGAGAGAAGAAAATAACAGATATACCTAGCTGTACCCTTCAAAGGTCAGAGAGTGAAGTGACTTTAAATGGGTAGGAAGGAATCTCCGTATATTCTTACTAGAAATACCAGCAAAACATATTTCAGAATGTGATGAAAGGCACTGATTGTCTCAATGAGCCTTGTTATTTATTTATTTATTTATTTATTTATTTATTTATTTATTTATGTACGTATACTCACCTGAGGACATACTTCTACTTATTTTAGAGAGAGAGGAAGGGAAATGGAGAGAGAAAGATAGAAAGAGAGAGGAGAGAGAGAGAGAGAGAGAAAGAGAGGTGCATTAAAGGGCCCTGCAGGAACCTCCCCTCTCCTCTATATAAAGAGCCCTTCCCTGTACCTGCTAGAGCCTTCTCTCCAGCACTGAGGGCTTTGTAAGCCTGGAAAATGGATTCCTTTGTTCCAGCCTGTGACTGCAGGAAGGTCTTGAGGACCTCCTTTGCCCAAAGAAACAAGAAAGTCTTCTTGCTGGGGAAGTCATTGCTCAATAAAACTGCACATTTGGCTCTGTAAATTCTTCATCATTTTTAGGATCCCATAGTGGTTTCCTTCCTTTCACAGTCACAATGAAAAAATCAAAAATTTTTAGTGAGAATAAAACCCTCTTTGGCAACCTCTTTCCTAGCTCTCCAGTTTCCTGTCCTAAGGATTCCAGCTGCCCCCGACCCCAGGTTACAGACAACCAGGTTAATATGCAATCCTACATAAACTCATCCTCCATTTTTGCAATATCTGCACATTCTTTTTCTTCTGACTGGATGCTCATTTACCCTTTCTTCACTCAGATATAATTTATTAATATCTCAATTTATAGCTTCTACCTCCTCTTCCAGGAAGCTTTGATGAACTTCTTTCTGAGATTTGAATGGCTGCCAGGTACACAGACCTGCCCTACCAGCTCTATCATTTTGTGGTTATGTATTCTTAGGCCACTATTTAGCTTCTTAGTGCATCACATTTCTCAATTGCCTAATGGAGATGATAGTATTACCTAAATTCATATTATCCTGAAGATTAAGTTGATAATCCAAACATACCACTTAAGAATATACTTGGTTTAGTAACTGTGCGCTCAATATATACCAGCCATCACCATCATCATTATCATCACCATCATCATTATCATCATTTTAAACATCACTATTCATGTACTTATATGATACTCATTATCTCACCACATTCAATTGATTGTTTATATTTCTTTTTTTAGGTAACGTCATAAACTTCTTGAGAATATTGTTTTTTTAATTACGTATCCCTTGTACATAGCACAAAATAATTACATTGTTTCCTAAATGAAAGGCATATTCTCTTCCATCTACATTCCTGACAGTAAATCCGATATTTGGGAAAACATTTTTTTTTGTTTATTTAAAAGTATGTAACTAATGTATAGAAATCACCATGCTTTGCGGTTTATGCACAAATGGTCCTGTGCTCTTAGATTTTCAAAAGAATCAACAAAGACCCTCTGACATCCATCTGCTGTCCTTATCCCCTCTTTTTATTCCTCACCTTCACTCCTTTCCTGGGTACCAGGTTATAGGAATGTTCAACCTTGTCCATTTCTTTTATGTAGAGATTGTATCCTCCTGGCACAGAGAAAGTTCCTCTCAAAATGTTTTCCAACAGTGGCTCTGAAAGCTGTTTAAGCTGAGCCTGGCAATATTTGGCAGATGCCTCTTCATTCTGCAGCAAGAAATCTTCCTTCTTTTTCTCTATGGTGCCCTGCTCAGAAATGTGGAGAAATCCAAAGGAAAGAGGCCATTAGAAAAGAAGGGAAGGTCCAACTGTGATCCTCTTGGAAGAAGCTGTCTGATGACATCAGAGTAGACTGGGGCATGGAAAAATAGACCAGGATCAGGAAGCTCGTTTTAGTCCCAGTTTAGACCAACTCTTGGTTTGACCTCGAAAAAGTTCCTTAATTCCCATGTGTTTAGGCTGAACACTTGTGAAATGATAGGGTTGGCAGACAAGAACTCCAAGATTCTTGTACTTTTAAAAATTGGGAAATAACTTTATTTCTATTTTGGGTGTACAACATAATGATTTGATACTATTTGTATAGATTGGCAAAATGATCACCACAATATCTGGTTAACCTTACATAGTCACAAGAATTGTTTTTTCTTTGATGAGAATTTTTAAGTTAGACTTTGCTGGCAAATTTCAAATATGAAATCCAGTATTATCAAGTTTCCTTTATCAGTCATAAGATTAACTGTGGTCCATCCATCGACAATCGACAATGGGGAGTTCAATATGACTGTAAGTAAACTTTCCTTTGCAAACTTGGATTGCTATGGATAAACAATATACACAATAAATCAACTGTTCACTAGTGAGGTAAGTAGTCACTGAACAGAGTTTTGAACTCCTTGTAAATTATTTCAATAAGGGTTTGATTGTGCGAACATTAGGAACATAAATTATTTTGCTATACTTGAAAAATTACAATCCCTTTGGTTTTCTTCTGTATGAAGTACGAGTTCTGTAACTAGTAGGATAGTCAATGACAGACTCAAAGGCAAGGTGAAGGTGCTTAAGTTAGGCAGAATTATGTTGTCCTCAAGAATTCTCTTTCCTGGTGTCCACAAACTGCAATCTCTAGGCCTATGAATATGATAAATATTAATCTTGTGATTAGACTTTTATATGGTACTGGCTAACTTTAAGAGATGGAGATTGCTCAAGTGTAAATACCTAAAACACAGATTTTTAAAACACACACACACACACACACATTTTATTGATTTTAGAGATGAAAGGAGAGGGAGAGAGATAGAAACATCAATGATGAGACTGAATCATTGGTCAGCTGTCTCCTGCATGCCCTGCACTGGGGATCGAGCCCACAACCATGGCATATGCCCTGACCACGAATTGACCTGTGATCTCTTGGTTCATAGGTCTACACTAAAACACTGAACCATGCTAGCTTGGAAACACATGAGCTATTTAAGAGCAGTTTTCTTCAGTTGATAGCAGAGAAGTCATCAAGTACATTAGAAACAATATGGTACAATGCACTATTGCTGCCTTGAAGATGGGGAGGAGTTCCCATGACCCTCCTTATGATATTACTAGTGGCCTGGTGCACAGATTTATGCACATTGAAAAAAAATTAATTAGAAGAAAGATTCGTGCAGTAATTATGTTACTGCAAAAAATTACATGTCAAAATAGTATATATAATATAGCATTATAAAATGAAAACACACATGTGATTGGCACCAACAAGAGCTTTATATGTATCACACATGCATGAGTCAACGTTTATTTTAAATTGCCAGTGTGCATCAGATGTACCACCCTGTTGGTTGGTCAGATGGTCGCTGAATAAATTGTGATGTGATTCACATTGAATGTCAACAAAAACAATCAAATTTATAATTGACAATGACAGATCAAAACACACACCTGCAATTGGCACCAGGGATAGCTTTATATGTATCACACATGTGCAAGTCAACATTTATACTTAAACTAGAGGCTCGCTGCATGGATTCATGCACATTAAAAGGAAATTAATTAGAAGAAATATTTTAATATTGCTATTTGCCCTTTCTCTTTAATAGTAGCGTCAACCAAATTCACAATAGACAATGACATATCGAAACACACATGTGCAATTGGTGCCAGCGAGAGCTAAATATATACAGACAAACTTGCTTAATTAGACCTGCTTTCTGGTTTAGCTAAACTTTTCCCAGCCCAGTAAAGCATCCCAACTTCTCTTTCAGGTAATTGTCAGCAACACTGTAGTAAATATCAACACGAAGCAGATTATTATTGTAGATCATGCAGCGAGAACAAAGGGTGAAATATTTAACTGTAGCAGTGTTTGACTATATTCTGCACAGTGAGAAAACCTGAAGTCATTTTCAAGTTCCATAATTTCTTACCTCTTTTCAGTCGGGTAAAGTTTCTACACTTTCTAAATCTTAGTGGGCACCAGATTCCTAGTGTCATTTATTGTTAAACGGCCTTTAGCTATAGAGAGGAAGCCAGGCGTTACTACGTGACATCATTACCCAGTCCCCACAGCCACCGTTTCTGGGCAGGGCTGGGCTGTGGGCCACATTTTGCACCATGGGATCTCAGCAGAGTTGGCTCCAATGTGATGGGCTGTCACTCCGGGGTGGTGGCATGGCCTGTGTCCCACTTGGGGGAAGCCAAATGTTGCTCTGTCGGTGCCAGGTCTGCAGTGCCTTTTCTTTATAAATGGCTAGTGCATGTCATGGCAGCTCTTGGGTTGAGCATCTGCCCCCTGGTGGTCAGTGTGTGTCATAGTAACCGGTTAGATGGACACTTAGGATATTAGCCTTTTATATAGAGAGATTACCAGTGAGTGTCATATGTACCAGTGGGTTGGATGGTCGGAAGTTTGGATGTACATACAGTTGGTCACTTAACCTTTTATATGAAATTCGTGCACTGGTGGGGGGTCCCTCAGCCAGGCCTGCAACCTCTTGCAGTCCAGGACACCTCAGGGGATGTATGCCTGCTGGCTTAGGCCAGACCCCCCAGGGAGCGGGCCTAAGCTGGCAGTGTGATATCCCTCTCACAGTCCAGGGCCCCTCGCTCCTTACCTCCCACCTGCAGTGGAGGTGGGAGAGGCTCCCGCCACCACCGCTGAGCCCACCATCTGGGATCCTGGCTTTTGCTGGGCAGCGCTCCCCCTGTGGGAGTGCACTGACCGCCAGGGGGCAGCTCCTGCATTGAGTGTCTGCCCCCTGGTGGTCAGTGTGCATCATAGAGACCCGTCATTCCATCAGTCATTCAGCCCCCTGCTGCTATCACTTGACAGTTTTATTTTGGCTCCTTTACAAATGTAATTAGCTAAGAAGAAGAAGGTTTATGTAAACCAGAATCTGTTAGCCCATGTTGGGCTTCTACTGCGGTGATTATTGAGTACTTTAAATCTGAATTATGCTCAGTGAAATAAGGCATTCAGAGAAAGAAAAGTATCATATGATTTCACTCTTATGTGGAATCTAATGAACATAATGAACCAACAAGTAACATAGAGGCAGACTCATAGAGAGCAGGCTGGCAACTGTTGGAGGTGGGTGTGGTGTTGGGAGCTGAAGCTAGAGGTATTGAGAAAAAAGAAAGAAAGACTTCATGTACAGGGGAACAGTGTGGTGACTGCTAGGGGTGGGTGGGAGAAGTTGGGGTAGAGTTTAAGGGGGATAAATTGTGATGAACAGTGCTGGGGTCCAATCCCAGCGGGTCCAGGGGTCCCCCAAGGTGTGGACGGAGTCGGCGAAGAAGGAATGACACGGAGACAGCCTTCAGTTGATCAGCAGCCTAGTCAGGACCTCTAGCCAGGATCTCCAGCCAAAGTTCTGGTCGGAGTTCTGGTTAAGAGCTGATGAGGATATGATGTTTATTGTCTTGTTACATCCGTATTTATACCAGCCGATTTTAATCCTGTCAATTTCTATTACAAAGGTTAGGGTGTTTCTTATCTCCATTCCAGGGAGTAAAGATTATATAGCTTAAGTGTGATTGTTTGTAGTTAAAGTGATTAACTACCCGCCTGGCACTTAGTTAAGGGATTGTATCCCCTCCCTAACCTCAGGGAAAAATCCCCACCTGGGGAAACAATCTTTCTCAGAGAGGTGACCTTGGTTAAAACACATGGCACTAAAGGGAGCAAACATATTAAGAACAGTATGCTATAAACGCCAGGTCCATTGAAACATATGCTGTGCAGATGTTTCTTTCCTGCAGCGACTGTGTCAAGCAGCAAGGGATGGACCGGCTTCCGACAGAACAGAGACTTCATTTTGGGTGGCAAACACACTATATACAGTAGTGTACAGATAATGTGCTATAGAACTGGGCTCCTGTAACCTGTATAATTCTGTTAACCAGTGTCACCCCAATAAATTCAATAAAAAATTAATGTTCAAATTCAGAATTTAATTCCTGCCACTTCTCTTTTTGTAGTAATGGAAGCCTAAGATCCACTGCAGCAACTTTAACTTTAGACTCTGGCTAATACAAATAAGGACACAGATTGACCGCAACTAACACAGTAAACACAGCATACCTAAAATTATCTCATTTACAATGCTTGTGGTGAATCTAGCTCCTGAATTTATAGAAGTCAGGGAGAAATTCATCTCTAAAGCTCAGAGACTTGGAATAAAACCTTTTATTAATGTGACAAGTGTTTTTTTGAGATTATATACATTATTCTGAAACTCCATTTTCATGTTTCCTGTACTCAAGACCATCAACCTCGCACACATTAACTATTGAAGTGCATAGATCTCATAATTATAACTTCCTCCAGGATGTTTTTATTACCCTGAATACTGGTTAAATATGTCACTCCTTGTTTCCATGCTACCCTGTACTGATAACACTGCTTATTTCTTATCTCCCAACTAGACTCTGGGACTTTTCCTCAATCATGCATAGCTATAGTACTTAACACAAAACCCTAGAATTTAGATGCCCAATAAGTGTTTGTTATATTGTAACTTTCAAACAAGTGTAAAAATAAGATGTTATAAGCCTAATAAAGAAAATATTGAGTTTCCAAGAAACATAATTAAACCTCATTATTCTTAATTAGATTTGTAGTTTACCAAATAGGTCATAGAAGATGAATTAAGGTGGCAAATTGAAATGTTAGTGGATTATTAAGAACAAAGAAGACGCTTTGCCTTACCTTTTCCACATAGCCCAGGCCCTCAGTATCCGGAAAGAATGTGGTTGGGCTTCAAGGGGTGGGATACACACCACATCCAGATGCCCTTGGTTTCAGATCTCACTGTGGAGCCCAGAGGGAAACCTGCAAAGGAAGAGGAGAAAGTGTATAGAGTAACAGCAGAAGTCCAGGCTGCCTATAGGTTACATTAGTTAAAGTTATCAGAGTGTGAGTGCCAGGCTGGGAGGAAGGTTGCTTTCATTTCAGCAAGGACAGCCTATCCAATGTTTATCCATGTTAAGAACCTTCTCAAGAAACACTCTGTTTACTATTCACTCCATACTATCAATGGCTCAAGATACGGCACATTACAGAATTAATATAACCTCTATTGACGTTTATATTTTTTTCTGACACTGAAGAGCTCCTTTGTCCTTCAGGTTCTGGTAGATTTCCAACATCATTAAACTAGAAGTCAGGCATATGTTCCCTTGCTTACCCCTTAGTGAGCCACAGTGTCCCAGTGCATCATGCCCCGACCTGCAGGGCACACTTCGTGGGTACACCGCACCAAATCCTGCAAAGGAATGAGAGGATAGGAGACGCGAAGAAATGGAGGCAAGACAAAGTTCTGATCAAGCCTCAGTTTTATTTTTACAGCAGGTGGTATTTATGTTGTTTCTAGAGGAGGGGGTGGGCAAAGGAAGTCGTTAAGGATCTAACAGGCTTTGGAATGTCGCAGAGGTCGTTAAGGATGTCTTAGGGTGAGGGTATGTTATCTTTTAACTCCAGGCCAAACTGCAAGGTTGTCTTTTAACTCCAGGCAAAACAGGGAGTTGGCTTGGAGGAGCCAGAAACCCATTGTTGTAAGCTGGAGATGTATATGTGATTTATAATGGCTCCCAACAATTCCTCCCTTACCATTTAGTTAAGGGTGGGCATTAACCGACTGGGGGAGTAGTGACCTGGTTCCTCCCATGAGATCGGCAGATCTCACCTCTGGTGGCTCTTGGTATCTTTTGGGGAGGAGAGGCAGAGCCAACAATTATATATGTATGGATACCAACCTCTATGCAAACCAGGTGTGCTCACAGAGAAATCCAGAGGCGGTCGAGAAAATTTTGATTTTCTGTTTTGACCTTCCCTTGCAGTGCTTTCCCTGCACCCAGTCGATACCCATACCATACCTCTATATAGAGTGTAGGTAAGCATTCCTCTGGCTTTATGCTGTCCCCGTGGGGAGGGAGCTCTGGCAATCATAATCACGTTCTCGGTCTATAGTAGCTAAACGGTGGTAGTGAACCTGAATGGGTTTGGCCAGGATGCTATCAATTTGCTGTTTGACAAAACTTATCAGTTTCTTAAAAGCCCATGGTCCAAAGGTTAAAATTAACAGTAAGCTGACAAGGGGGCCAAGTGCAGGAAGCAGGTAGGGGAGTAGGCCGTTGAGTCCGCTCCAAAGGGGGTTTTCGAACAGCTTTCTTCGCCTTTTGACCAGATCTTCCTGGAGTTTTCTTATCTTGTCTCGGACGATTCCAGATTTGTTGGCGTAAAAACAGCAGCGTTCCTGTAGGGCTAAACATATTCCTCCCTGCTCTGCTATAAGTAAATCTAATTCTCTTCTATTTTGTAAAACTACTTCTGCTAGGGAGTCAATTTGGTCTTGGAGATCATTGATAGTACCTGAAAGAGCCTGAACATCATTAATTAATTGATTAGATAATTTATTATAGGTATGTAATGCGGTTCCTAATCCAGCTGTGCCAGTGGCCACAGCTCCAGAGACTCCCAGTCCTATAAGTAAAGGAATAAATTGGACAGCCCGCTTACTGCGTCCAGCAATGTAATCAAGGCTGGGTAGGGAGACAGGTTCTCCCCCTGGAATAATATCAATGTCAGGGAGAATACTAGCCTGAACACATAATCCTGTCCAGTTTAAAGGTAGAGCTGTATAGGCCATATTACCTCCACATACAAACACTCGTCCTAGGAGCGGGGCAAAGGGAGGAACTGTGATTGTGAACGGGAGAGCAGTTAACAAAGCTAATGAAGCCTACATCTAGATCATAACTATTATTCTGGGGGAGTTTTTGTAGACATGAGGAAAAGTCGAATGCAACAGGTTGAGTTACTGATGTCATCTGGAATGACAAGGGGCATAGGTGTACCTAGGGTCATGCATAGCCAACAGTTTTCTGCAAGGGATGGATTGGAGGCATTTAAAGCACGGAGTGTGGCTTCTAAGATATCAGAGGTTTGGGTGTCTAGATCTACTCCTCGTGATTTAGGTAAGGCTAAAGGTAAAAGTTTATCCTTTAATAGGTGACAACTAAGTTCCCCTGAATATCCATTTAACCCAATTTGCCAATTTTAAGTCAATTTGAAATAGCATTTATTCTTTTAACTTTACTTGTCCTAAGTTATGGACAGTAAATGACCTTAATTAAATGTCTGGTATCAGTTTTTGGGTAAATTTACATAAACTTTGTTTAAGGAGACAAAACACAAATTATTTAATTTAGCTTTTGAGACCCAATATATTGATTTTTAATTTTAGTTAGGCATCTGAAGGAAACCTCTTTTTATTTCCTTCCAGACAGTTCTTTCTCACACAAGCAACAAATGTAAGAAACATGGTTGCCTTTTGAGATTTTAACAAATACTGTTGCAAAGCTTATTTTAAAAAGGCAAAGCGAAGCAAGTAAATTTAGTATTTAGTAAACTTTTGATTCACAAGGGACAAATGCTGCCCCACCTCCAGCCTAATTTAAAATGCAGCGGCGAGGAGCTTTTGTTATTTCAAATTACATCTTAAAATTCCACTGCTGTATTTTAAGAAATATTAAACAAAATTACTTGTTTTTGCCCTTTCTCAGAGGCAAAAACTTAAAATATATTTATTAATTTATATTTGATAAAGCTTTCTATGTGATTTCAAGTATATTAAATTGGCTTTATTTTAAGAAGAGAGAATAAACTTTTGAAAACATTTCAGGGCCCATGAAATGTCCCAAAGTCATTCCTTGGTTATAGTTTTGAAATCCAACTTGAAAGACCATCAAATATATATGTGTATATATGATTTAAAGATTATATACCTTTTATAATTATTAAGAGATATCAATTAAATTTAAACTGATCTTTATATTTAAAAATTTCGGTTGGGATTACAAAATTTATCCTCTTTTTTCAATTAGACAAATGTTGAAATTTTACTATAATTATATGATTTTTCCAAATTTATTCAACCAGAACTTTAAACTCTTAGCTGGCAAGTTAAATATTTAGCATTTCTCAATCAGTAACATTTTTAAGAATAAACTTCAAAAATGCAAGACATAATCAACCAACAGATTTAATTCTGTTCTTTAGATTTTGTACGAAGTACACTTAGATCTTATTTAATTCAGTATTATGTCACTTCAAGATACCTAGGTATAAACTCCAAGGTCTTAAATTTCACAGCAGATTTGGAAAACCACACTTGAGGCTGGCAAGGCAGGCCTGGCCCCAGCCTTTGATTTTAAAACGACCATAATTTTTCCTCTGGGGAAGGCCAACAAACAAGGTTGTAGATACATTGCTTCCTGCCCCTTGCTAGTGGGTGGGAAGTTTCAATATTGGCCTGGGGGAGGAAAGGGGGGGGCTGTTTTCCCTGGAAGAACAGGTTTGGCCTAGCCTGGATTAATCAGATGTAAATTGACTACATTCTTTAAGAATTTGCTACAGGTGGGAAGCAACTAGCCCCTTTTCTCATTAGAAATGTTTTGGCCAGCCTTTTCAATTAACAAAGGGCTGGTTTTTTACTGGGCTACTTAGATTTTATAATTAATATAGATCAATAATTCTTGAGATTCAAATCCAAATTATTATTTTAAGGCAGTTACTTTGGCAAATTTTCTGTAACAGACAATTTTACTAAATTTCTTTAAGGCTTTTAAGATTAACTTTGGAATAGGCTTTATTAACATTTCAAAAATCACTTTATTATGGAAATATACCAATCTTATTGCTAGAACCAGCCTGCATTTCTTCCCTGGCTCAAATATGCCATTTTTCTTAGGAAATAATCAGTCTTGGGTTTTATTCTGTACATTTGTAAAGAGATTTTTAGCTCAAAACTCTATCTAAATGTCCAAAATTGGATGATGCGCGCTTTTAGTTCCAAGCCAGTTTTTCTCTTTACACGTGAACAGAAATCCCAGACGCATTTTCTAAATTTTGTGAAACTTTTTTAATTACGAGAAGGAGATTTTAAATTTGAATATTGGGGAGGCGTCCATATAGGATCGCCATGTGCTCTGCCCTCTCCTGCCATCTCTGAATCTCTCCGAACCAGAGAGAGATTCGGCAGCGGGGTTTCATTTCTTAAAAGTAAAGAAGCTTTTTAAATCTTTCTTTTTAACCCTAAATCTTCATGCCCTGAGGGACTCCCTGAGTCCTTCAAGAAGCCTTTTAAATCTTTATTTTTAACCCTAAATCTTCGCGCCTTGAGGGACTCCCTGAGTCCTTTAAGAAACAGCTCATGAGAACTCAGAGCCTGACCCATGTCTTAGCCTCTTCCACATAAGCCTCCGGGACGTATAAACCCCGTACCAGGTCAGCCCAGGAGTCGACAAGGAGACGAACCAGCGAGGAAGATGCCAACCATTACCTCAAAGGAGAGGCCCCTGTTCACATGTCATAGGTCTGGATGTAGAAATTCTCTGCTGAGACTACTTCAGTCCTGTTTATGCCACAGGTGTGTTTTCCTACGTAAGCAACCGGTTGGTATAATCCGCCAACTCGGACCCCTAGATCAGAGCTCCCCAGATCGAAACTTGTTTTCAAGTGCCTTCCTCGGAGCTGCTTTTGCAGCCCACTCCTCCTACGTAAACAGCCGGTTGGTATAATCCGCCAACTCGGACCCTTGTGAGGCAGGTAACCTGCTAGGACCCTCAGGCATTCACCAGTCGGGAGTCAGGCACCCCATGAGTGCTAACAAGGTGGATGGCCTGCGTTTTTAAGTAGGCAAGGAGTTTTCCCGGAGTAACAGTGACACAAGTTCTTACTGGTTTACTTCTAATTTTGGGTGGACGGTTTAAGCTTTAAAGTAGGCAAAAACACTTACTTCAGAGTCTCAGCTGGAGTCCCCATTTTCTCAG